AAATCTCCAGTATCACAAAATATAAACACTTGGCAAAGCGACGAGGCAAGGCGGGATGGGAACAGGAGTAGAACCAAGGGGCTGGAGAGGTGCTGGGGGTGACAGCACGGGAGGCAGAGGCCTGAGGGCGTGGGCAGGCAAGGCCTCTGTGATGCCATGGAATTGTCTCTGGACCCCATACAGGGTCCCTTAGCAACCTCTAGCTGCAGCCAGAGATGTCCAAGGGAGGCCAGCAGCAGCAGCTACACACAGGCTGCACAACCCAAAGGGTGTCAGGGGCTTGGAGTAAAGCAAACGGCACCTGCCCTTTTCCAAACCCTCCCCACATCCCACTGAAACAGGGACTCATCCCCACTTTACAGATGAGGATGCTGAGGCCCAGGTCTGCGACATAACTTGTTTGAGTTGAACCAGAACAGTCGGGCTCCCTCAGCTGGCCTCTCAACCCTGACTCTCCCTTGCCACTTACTGGTACAGCTGGGATTGAAGGAGCAGAGGGAAGACCCAGCTCTGTCCCTGGCTGCCAGTAAGTGCCCAAGCACTAGGGTGTTAGTAGTCAGGATGACTTCTTTTTCGTTTGTTTGTTTGTTTGTTTTTTGAGACAGGGTCTTGTGGTATAGTTCAGGCTGCCCCTGAACTAACTATATAGCCCAGGCTGGCCTCGAACTTGCGGCAGTCCTCCTGCCTCAGCCTCCTGGGTGCTGAGATTATAGGCATTCGCCACAATGCCTGGCTAATTGGGATGGTGAAGGACTTTCCAGGGAGGCCTGAGCGATCAATGCCAGAAATGGGGTCTCTCTACCTTGGCACAGGGACAGAGACAGAACAGGGAGCTGGAAAACCCTGAGATGCCTCCAGAAGCGGGTACTGAGGTTCTGTGCTCCAGAGCCAGAAAAGCTGTGTGACCTTGAACTCATATACTTACCTTTCTGAGTCCCAGTCTCTACCTCCCTGGAGAGGGACAGGGCAGGAGTCAAAAGGAATTATAAAAATTTCTCAAAGAGCAACAGTCCTAGGCAGAATTCCTGGGAACGCCAGCTGTCCCCTCAGCCCAGTCCACACACCCAGCCCAAGACACAGGACAGGAAGTGAAACACTGGAAACAGTTCCTTTATTTGGGGGCAGAGCCTGGCTCGTTGGTGGGTAGAGGCGGCGCAGACGCCAGGCAACAGACCAGGTGCACAGCAGGGTCGATGGACGAGCCCCGACGTGGGTGAGGGATGCCCTCAGCTGCAGGTGCCAGGCCCAGGAGGAGGGGGTGTCAGGCATCAGATGCTGAGCCCCTCAGTGCCCACAGGGGCCAGACCCTGAGGGCCAAAGTCTCTCCCACCCTTGTTCCCACAGGAGGGCAGCCTCTGTGCCCTCCTGCCCCCAGCGTAGAGTCCAGGCCCAAGGGAGTCAGATACTGTGGAGGCCACCCAGAGAGGATACATAGGGCGGTGAGCCAGTCTCAGCCAGGGGAGGGCCCCCACCCCCAGAGAGCAGGCGCAGCTGGCAGAGCCCGCACTTTCATTAACCTGCTCCCCCCCACGGCACACGGCCCGCACAGCCGCCCTCTCCACAGAAGTCACACAGCGCACACAGCCAGGCTCCCGCCCACGGCCCGATGGGCCGAAGACTCGCCTGGGCCATCACCTACTGGTTCTCCTCCCTGCTGGCAGCGTGAGGGAGAAAAAACACAGGGGTTCAGCTGGGCCCAGCCAACATCTGGCAGAAAGAGCCCCACCTGAGGTAAAAAGGGGTGTGGCTCACATGGGGGACACTGGCAGGGAGTCGGTGCCCTAGAGCTGTCCCGGGAGCGGGGAGTGAGCTGGAACGGCCCTGGCGGCCGGATACTCACAGTGTCTGATACGTGCTGTCCTTGGCCTTGAGGAAGCGCAGCACAAAGAAGGCCAGTGCCTGCAGGCTCAGCACCAGCACGACGCCCCCAATGAAGCTGGCACCATCGAAGCCGGGGCTGTGCGCTTCAGGAACTTCGGGGCTCCCTGCGGGGTGAGGCAGGGTGGGGGTCACAGCAGGGACCAGAGTCCCAGCCCACATCTGGTGCAGGACACTCTGAGGTCCTCGTCCTTACTACGGGGCTAGAACATCAGGTGTGGAAGGCCAGCTTGGCCCAGCAGGCAGAGGGGAAGGGAGGGGTATGTCCAGGCTGGCCATGCTCCTGAGCTTCTTAGTGGCTTTACGCCTCGCACACCCTCTCTGGGCCTCTTGATCATATGGGCCCAGTAGGTGGGTGGGACCAAATAGCAACCAAGCCGCCCTCCAGCCTCCATCTCTCCCTAGCCCAAAAGGGTGAGGATGGGGTTGGCACTCAGGTGCCCAGAGCCCCCTGGCCACAGGGCCTTTCAGCTGAGGGGCTCAGGGCGCAGTGCTGCCCGATGTACATGATGAGCTCCATTTTCAGGACTCCTGAAAGTAAGGAGGCGGAAGGGAAGGGGGAGGCCCAGGGCCGATACGCTACACAGTGGGTAGCTGGAGAGTAGGCGATGGGCCCGACTTGGCTGAAATGGCCTCACAGGTAGGTCGGACAGAGGTGGACTCACCCAGGCTCCCTGGACCCTTTCCTCTGGTGTTCAGAGGATAGAGACTTAGGGCTACAGTTGCCAGGCAGGGTCTGTGTGGCCCCAAGCTGTGCCACGGTACCTATCAACTCCCACCAGGGATTCGGTTTCAGACCCTTGGCCAGGTGCCCAGCGCAGGGCGGGCTGTGGGCGGATGATCATCCTGGGATAGTAGACAGAAGCCCAGCCGGGAGCAGAGTCCGCTTCCCAGGGGGTGTGGGCGGTGGATGCAGGAATGAGAATAGGAGGGGCAAAGGGTGGCCTCAGCTACAGCTCAGGGAGCCCCAGAGAAGGACACTGGAGAGGAGGAGCAGAAAAGGAAGAAATGAACCACACTCTGCAGATCTGGGGCTCCGGCCGCGGCAACCATCAATAATTCAGCCTCTGAGATCAGTTTCTGGCTTTAATTAACCAAAAGCCTCTTCAGCTATCCTGGCCAAGTCTGGTGACCTAAGGCCCCTGAGGGGCAGTGGGAACAGAAGGGAAGGGTCCTTGCCCTGCTTGGCTGGGGATCTGCCTGGGACCCCCTGCGCCTGCGGGTTGCAGTAAGTGGTCACTCAGGACATCTCATTAGCAGCCAGAGCCGCAGATCCCCAGCTCCTGAGAGGTCGCCCTGACTCCCCACCACAGGTGAGGGACAGGAGGGATGGGAACCACCATGTTGGTCGCCTTCAATGCACTAGACACAGAATCGGGTCTTACACAGCAGAAGGAGACCAAGTGGGCCTGGAGGCGGGAAAGGGTGGCACAGACCCCAGGTACCAGACTGGGTGCCCAGCAGCAGCTCATAAAAGAATAAGATTTCCAGGGAATTTTTTAAAAATCATAAAATCATCAGGACTGTAGGAATTATCCAAGCCATTTTACGGATGTGGAAACAGATAAGTCAGGAGGCTGAGGCCACTGAACACGTCAATGCCTGAGCTCAGCTCAGTTCCCTACTCCGCCCCCTATGTCCCCAGGGAGCACCCACCTGTTGTGACTGTCTTCGGCTCATAGGTGGGGTGGTGGTGGGCAGCTGAGGAGACAGAATCCACAATAAAACAACCCTCCCGATCCCTGGCTGCCGGCAAGACCACAGCCCCAGCCAGCAGCTGGACTCTGATTCAGATTTGGCCCTGGTCCAGCTCCAGACACCCCACATATTTTGAAGCCTCATAGATGTGCCCTATCTCAATCTCTACCTACAAGGCTCATCTCTGGTGCCACCTCCTCCGGGAAGCCCCGCTCCGTTCCTTTCTGAACTTCCAAATTGGGCCTGGAATATAGCTCAGCAGTACAAGCACCTGCCTGGCAACTGCAAGGTCCTGAGTTCGATTCCCGGTACCAAAAAAAAAAAAAAAAAGAACTTCCAAAGCCCTGGCTATGCCTTCTAACAGAACCGTTAATGCTCCCTTCCCTTCTGCACCCCTGGACCCATTTACAGATGAGGAAATAGGCCAGAGAAGGGAAGCGACTACTCCACAAGCTAAAGGCAGAACTGAAATTGGACCCAGGTGTTTGTGGGCACAGCTCACTCCCCAGGAGAGGCTTGGGGAGACCTCAGCCCCCACCCTCCGCTTTGGCTTAGGCCAGTAGCAGCTCCCTTACCGGGACAGGACTCTGAGCGATTGTAGACAGAGCAACCCTCCTTGGCCACCTCCGCATGGGCCACACAGTGTCCTGAGGGAAGAAGTTGGAGGGCAGTGGTCTGGGGAGAAGCCAAGGCCTGGGGTCCGGGGCTGGGGGCGCCGAGCTTGGGGAGGCCAAACTCCATACCTGGCTCCTCCGGCTGACACTGCTGCCACACACAGCCTGAGCGGTTGTGTGCTCCGTCCCCTTCCACACACCGCTCACAGGGCTCCAGTTGTTTGCAGCCCCCTCGGACAGCGGGCCAGATGTTCAGGCGGATCAAGGCTCCCCGCCCAAAGCCTCGAGCTCCTTTACCTGGGAGTGGGGCGGGAATGGGAGGGGAGCAGCTCCCACGACTGTGGCTGTCATCCCTCTGCACACACCTGGCGCGTCCACAAGCCCAGGATCGCGCTCGCCTAGCCTCCCCCACATTCCCTGAGTCTCCCTTTGCATACACCTGGGGCCCCCGGCCTCCAGATACACCTGAAGCTCCCTGACCCTCCACACCTGGAGTATATATGCATGCACACAGCGGAGCCTCATTCTCCCCCCTGGAGCCCTGCCCCTGTCTGGAAGGTCCCCTCCCCGCAAGCCTAGACTGCTCTCGGGAGGTGGCTGGGTGAGGGGCCTGCTCCACCTGTCCCTGCCCGGCCCCTGCCGCGCATTACCAGCCGCCGCGAGCTGGGCACACAGGAGGAGGCAGCAGCAGCCGCCACAGAGCGCAGCCCGCACGGCGCGGGGTCTCGGCGCGGCCATGGACGCGGGGCGAGGGCTGGGGGCCGGCGGACAGCTGATGTGCTGCGTCCGTTCTGGACTCGCTCGCTGGAGCTGGTGTGGGAGTGAGACCTGGGCAACTGGGGCGTGGCCAGTCGGGGGCGTGGCCAATGGGAAAGCCAGGTGGGGCCGGGAGGAGCCAATACGGGCGTGACCGGTCAAAGGTGTGGTCGCAGCCCGCTGTCTGGGCGGGGCTTGAACAAAAGGGGCGGGGTCCAGAACTAACCGGTGGCTCACTGGGTGCCTCCACCCACAACTTCTGAAAACGGCACTAGCGGCTGTTTCCATCCCTGCTCTACAGCTGAGGAAACCGAGGCTTAGAAAAGGTGAGTGCCCAGACCGAGGTCACAGTGGCAAAATCGGTATTTGAAGTGACGTCACTTTTTTGCCTTCAGGGCTTGGCTCAGGACCGGATTTGTAGGGTCTTTCCCAGCCGACCCTACGAAGGCTGCAACAGGCCTCAGCTGCCTCTCAGCTCGGTTGTCCAGGCCCAGCTCCGGCGTTCCCTGCCTTCCAGCCCTTGTATCCTTCTCCCTTCTACCCCTCAGCCCACCACATCCTCCGGGCAACCGTGGGTCACACCCGTACTAGGTCAGGTGGGATTTCTGAAGCCTTCCCCACGGTGTCCTCTCCTGCCTGGCACCGCCTTACCTTTCTTCTTCTCTCTTCTCAGCCACTTGTCAGCTTTCTTAGGGGGAATCTTTTCCCTTTCCCTCCTCCTCCCCCTCCCTCTCCAGCCCCCTCTTAACTGATGGTGGCCCAGTTTAGTCCTGAGCCCTAGTCCACACACTTCCTAGGGGGACATCTTGGGCATTTCTCTGCCATCAGTCCCCATTTAAAAGCCAAGAAAAGCGGGGAGCTGTGGCACATGCCTATAATCCCAGCACTGAGGGAGGCTAAAGCAGGAGGATTGAAATTTCTGACTCCTGTCTCAAAATAAAGGGCTCCGGGTAGCTCAGTAGTAGAGCACCCCTGGATTCTGTCCACAGTTAAAACAAAAAATCCCAAATCTCTCATCTCCATCCCCAGTCTAGTTCAGCTTCCCAGCTACCACACCTGTAACTAACCACACGTAGCTAATAACCACTGGCCCCTTATTACTGAGAGAATACACATTTTACTAAGAGCTTTTTTGTTGTTTTTTTGTTTTTTTGTTTGTTTGTTTGTTTTGTTTTGTTTTGTTTTTCCGGTACCGGGAACTGAACTCACGACCTTGCGCTTGCCAGGCAGGCACTTTGCCGCTGAGCTAAATCCCCAGCCCCACTAAGAGCTTTTATTTGGCAGCTTCTACTCCACTCTCCACAACTACCCCCTAGGCACGATTTGTGTCACTCCCAATTTGCAGGCTGCTCAGGGGCACAGTTCTGCCCTGTGCCGTCCCTCCCCTGGCTCCCTGTACCCTGGGCACCTCCACTTGAGTGCCTGCAGACCCCTGCAACCACCTGGTCCTTTTTCCCCATCCAGGGAGGCCCCCGTTATCCACCCCATCACTCAGGCTGGAAACCATAGGACTGTCACCACCTATAACTGTCTCAGCCTCCAGATTCAAATCCTGTCCAGCCTCCTGGGTCCCGAACACTTGTCATCCTTCTCCTCCTTGGCCCAGCTCACTGCCTCACTCCCCAGGTCCCTCCCCAAGCTGGGCCCCCAGCGCAGGGCTCTCCTGAGACTGCATTTAACCACCTTCTCCCAGTTAACAATTCCCCAGCAATGGCTTGGCCTCCGCAACCTTTCATTCCTGGCTCTACAAGTCTTGTTAGCCTTTCTTAGGCCCTCCCTATCCCCTTCTTTCTGCAGCACCCCCCCACACTTGCCTTCATCCTAGCTCCTCTCTCCTGGGGAGCTGCCTCCGTCCCTGACCCTATCTGCCTGGCCAACTGATCCTTCAAGCCATCCCAAGAATGATCTTGGAAAAAATAAGTCAGATCACACCAGCCACCCGCCTAAGCCCTTCAACACCTATCTCACAGCTTTCTCCAGCCCACAGGGATCTCCTATTGTGACCCCTCTGGCTCAACTTTCTCCCCCTGTGCAACAAAGTGGGTTCCTTTGCTCATTTAGCCTCCCCTCTGCTCCTTGAAACTCTTCTGTTCTCTCAAGTGACTCACTCCATGACCTCCCTTACCTAAAAGAGATCTGGTTATTCTACATCACAGCACCTGCTCTTCCCTTTTTTTTTTTTTTTTTTTTTTTTTTTTTTT